CCCACCCCCCCAAGGTAGGCAACTTCTAAAAACTGACATTTTTTCAACCAGGAAAATGAATAGAGACCACCAAGTACTTTCAAACAAGCCAAGAACAGCTAGACAGTGATGGGTCTCAACCAGGACCAATATGCATGTGTCCAGGGGTCAGAACTTTTGCATATTCCTTGGCCAATCCCATTGTATCTAGTAGCACTCAACACAATACATGTATGAAGTACTGGGATATTTTTTTCACAGTACCAACTTCATGATTCTAAATATGTCCAACCTATTTATCAGAAAAGCAGGAAATATGCCATGCTTTTTAAATTTTTTCCACTGAAAATTTGACAATAGCCTTTCTTACACAGACATCAAAAGGGATTAATCAGAACTCTGTTCTAGAACATATCAGTACAGCTATTAATTTTGTTAATTCCATCAGTTACTTTTATTGACTTTCCCCCCCACTGAGAAATCATATCCATCTGGAGGTAATTTCATTTTATATCACTCTTTTTAAGCACTTTTTTTCTTTTCAAATTTAAGCATTTGATTCTAAATGTAACCTCTGTACAAGTTAAAAATATCTTGTGCAATAAACCAGGAATAACACACACTGTCAATGTCACAACTGAGGGCTTCTTCCAAGTGTATACAGCTAAGCTGTGCCACTATTCTCCAGCATTAAAAAAATGATTGCTTTTCTGAAGGTCAGAGTTACTAAATGTTGAGATGTAATTTAGGAATTAGCAAATTTTGTTCGTCTGCAAAGTTCCTTAAATCCTTTTCCTTTGCATATAAACAAATATACAATTTGATAGCACTTTGCATGGCTGAAATATTTTCAGGATATATTTTTTTTTCCTGTTGAAAGAAAAAATAATCCATCTAGGCTCATTTGGGAGGGGATGGAAGACACCAAACAGAAAAAAACACACCACTGTGAAAGGATTTGTGTAAGCATGTATGAGATTATAGAAACACGAGCACTTAATTCACAGAGAAAAAAAAATAAGAACAGATAAGGGCTTTTTAATCTGAAATTATAGCCTCTCTTTTATAAACACTTTGATATCGCCCGCCACTTTTGCTCAACAGGCAAGCTGGAGATAAACACACTGCTTTTGCGAAGGCGCCGGCCGAGGGAGCATGCTTACTGAAGCCCCAGGTGTGACCCCTGCTCTTCTGCAAGCAGCAATTGGACCGGGCAATCCATCACGGTGCTCCTCCTGTCAGGCCGGGTGCTCGGCTGCAGCTGTCTGTCACGCTGGTGGATGGGACCTGCTTAAAGGCAATCATGTCAATCTCTATGTGACTACTCAGACTAAGATAGAAGGATGATCTTGACAGGCTTGGCAAAGTCAGCAGAAGGCACTAGAGGACTTTAGTTACATGCTTAAAATTTAGATGCAATTTGTGCTTCTCATGTGGAGGGATTGAAGAGGCATGAAACAACACTGTGTTTTATAGCTGGTCGTCTCGGATGAATCTGTTGCCCTCAGAATGCTTTCCATAGTAAATGTAGCGGCATTTTCCCAAAATGCCTACAATAAAAAGGAAATGAATTACAATTAGGACAGCAGTGGCATAATAGGCAAATAAAGCATGTGACTGGGGAAATTTGAAGGAGGGAAGGGAATTGTTTTCCCTTGGCCTGCAAAAGAAAGTTTGTGCATTTGAAATAGTCAGTATTACCATTTCAATCAGCAGTTTTGAATCCACTGGGAAACGTGTTCAAATACCTGCACAACCTATCCTGTTAAACATTCATCCACAAGTGTCTTCAAAAATGGAATGACGTAACACTGAAACATCATACGCTGTGTTTTGAATCACAGTACCTCTCCCCTGCTTTTGAAAACCAGAAAGTCTGGGTTGAAGGTACAGTTTGGACTCTCTGTAATCTCCCTGTCATCCTGCAAGCACCTAAAGCTGTCCCTGCTTTGCAGCAGCAGAGAACTGAGGTGATCAGCTGAAATCCACAGGAAAGTCATCGACGCACGTGGGCCAGAGCTTGGGACTTCCAGACTCCAGCGTTTTTCCCAGACATACATTTTACATTTAGTAAAAACATTTCCAGAGTAGCTCTCCAAACAACATCCCATGAGCAAGATGCAATTATAAATTATGCTAAATATCGGTACATAGAGGATGCTTTCAAAAATTAGCCAGAACACTGCTATTTGAGAGACAAGGGACATTATTCTCAGCGGGTACAGGCAGCAAGATGCCCGAGGAAGCCTTAACTGCTGTGGGTGAGAGACACATACCTGCAGATCTCACTACCTTGTTCAGAAGCATCCCCTCTGGTGGTACTAAGTGGTATGTGAAAGCGTAAGTTCACAGTCACATCCCACCTGCGAACATCCTCAAAGATGCTAAATTTTCCTAGCAGAGTTGTTCTTTATGCCCCCCAGGCACGTGCAGTCAAATTAAAGTCATCTCCCACACACAGAAGGAAGGTGAAAGAGTCTCCTCTACCTTGGGAGTGTCTCAACGCAGCAATCGCTGAAGTACCTAGCTTGCCCCAAAAGTGGCAAACATAACCTAGCCTAAAGGAGACGAAGACTGCCTTGCATAAAGGGCAACGATGGGGGAGGAGCAGACCCTCAACTCGCTGCTGGTTTAACTTTCTAGGACTCGCAGAGCAAATACTGCGCTCACCTGCAGTATGAATTGAGTATGCAAGCTTTTATATTCTGCATCTATTTTTTTCCAGTATAACGTGCGTCAGATAAGCAACTGAAGTCTTGGAAGGCGTGGGCTGTGCAAGATTAATGTTAACCCATGCTCTTCTTTCCTTCTAAGACATCAGGATAGTAACACATTCCTACGGAAAAAAAAATAATAAATTGATAGGCCCGTCATTTGTTGTGAAAAACACATTCCTCTTCAGGATAACACAAATGGGGACTATACGGTGCAGCGCCTGATCCCTCTCCCCTCCTCCACGAAGCTTTCTTCAATAATTTAAATTTCAATAATTTCACTAGTGGAGCCGTTTTCACATTCGAGGGATGATATTATCATTCCTAAACAAGCATCTAATGAAAAGCAAGGTGGTTTGTTTTTTTTTTCCCCCTAAATAGAAGATATTCCAAGTCAAACTGCAGCAGGCGTTGGTTGGTAACAAGGCCATTTAGAGCTCTAAATATAAAGGATACGAACAGTTTATTAATGGCATTCTTCAGGCTCCTTTTTCACTGGCATTGATAAAAGTCTTGTTTGAGGTCTGCCGCATTTCTTAAGGACTGGAAGCAAGACTGTTTATAGAGATGCTGGTGAGAGAGTGCTGTTTGATGAATGCTGGAGACTGTAGCTAGGTGTCAGCGCTTAGAAAATGAGGCAAGGACATGAGGTATTAATATTGTCAATGATCTCCTGACAGGAAAACAGATACTGCATTCACAGTCAGATTTAAATAGACATCAAGTGCATTAATGACAAAAGGGCAGACTTCAAACAAAGGGGGCTGTATGGTGCTGCACTGAGCCAGTCTCCGAGTTGGCAATAACCTGATCTGAAAAGACACTGTCAGGACTACAGACAGGCCCGGGATTGTGTGCGGTGACAGAAAACAGAGATGCTGACAGAGATACCGGTGCCATATTATGCCAAGTATATTCTAACACTGTCTCCAGCCCTAACTAAATCTGACATCATTTCCTATCGCTTATAGTATCCTCCACTGCTCCGGCAGAATATTTCTCCCCAGACATCATTACAAACTCCACTGTAGTTTTAAAGTTACTGGCAGGCCTGTGCTGTCGTGAAGGCTGGGTCTAGAGGCCTAAGGATAACCTCAGTCAATCTAAATTTGGAGTTTGCTGGAGAAGTGCTCTCGTTTTCACTGATATCTCAGCTACTTGAGGTGATCTGAACGCTAAAGTGTGAGGAGCTGTCACCTTGAATAAAATCCTTAAAGTAAAGACGCTCAGTTCCTGGGATGTTCAGCAAAGATGTCGGACAGTCTGGCAGCAGGAAATGAAATCCAGCTGCTGCTGCTCGCCTGGGGATAAAGGTGCTTGGGCTCGTGACAGTTAAAGTCAGCTGAAATTTTTGAACTCCTGCAGCCTACAATTGTTTAAATTAAGGAAGTGTTGTCTCCACAGAGATTCCCTACCCAGGCACACAGCTGTGATTCGATTGCCAGGCATATTACACACACCGCTCGGAGAGTCTTGATAAAAGCACGGTGGAAAACGTTGCCATGAGACTTTATTTATCATGAAGGTTATTTGTAAAACAATAATCTTGCTCATAAATTAAATGCGCTGACTGGTTGGTTTTTTGTTGTTGTTTTGTTTTGTTTTCCCTCTCCATTTCCCCCCTCCCTTTGGCACCGCAGAAAACTCTGAGAACTACAAAAGGCTTGTGTGCTGCAGTGAGAATTTTGATGTTAAGAGGTGTCAGACATGAATTTAGGAAACCTACTGCTTCTCTCCTGCCTATCTGCTATGGTATTCATTCCTTGCAGTTTAGGGACAGGAGTACATTTGTGGTTTTGCACACAGACAAGGGGAGGAATAAGGGGGAAACAATACATCTGTGGCTGTTAGGGTGTTTTTTAATTAAAATACCCAGCATTGGCCATAATAAGCTAAGTATACCCCCTATACATCAAAACAACACACAGCATCCTGAATGAGGTTTCTGCTTGCGGTTCTTAAGAAATGACAACACAAGGTCTCTTGAGGGATCATCTTCCCTGAATGAGGCTTCTAATTTTTCTTAAGTAGCTGCTTCTACCATCACCGCAAGCTGTTAAAACTATAATTATGAAAAAAATGCATGGGGAAGAATAATTTTTAAATTCACTCTTTATCTTTTAAATGTTTTCCCCCTTCGGAATGGATGTTCTAATTACGCTGGGTAAGTAATGGCCTTGCAGTTGCTTGCATGTGTTGCGGTATCAGTCTTTTTTCACAAACACATTGTAATGTCAGCAACACCAGCTTTTCCTTAGCTGAGGGAAAACCCAATTATCCGAATAAATAAATACATACATACATGTAAAGCACATGAAAAATTGTTCAAGTCATGTTTGCTCCTTTTAAATTGGGCACGTGCTGCAGAAAGCTATGGTGCAGTTGGACCTCCACACACTTTCCTAGAGCAAAAGAAGTTTGTAGATCTTGATGTATTATACGGAAAATGGGAAAAAGAAGTTGCAATGGGCCATGCTAGACCCATGTGATAGGCCACACAGCCTCAGTCACAGGTCAAAATTCAGCTTAGGCCTACAGTAACATAAGGGATTTGTTGTCTGGTAGCATCTCGTTGCCCTTCTCAGTTTGCTTTTTTTCCCCCTAGCAAATAAATGCTCTCCTTCTATAAAAAACCACCTCTCAGCCATCACAGCTGGGGCAGCTGTTAGCAGCACAGCCTTCTCCAGTAGCATTCTGTTTTCTTTAAAAAGTAATTACTACAACTAAGTAGTCAAGCCAAAACTTTTGCCACCCTCATCAAAATCTATTGCCACATCTGCCCAAGATCCCCCTCGGGCACCCATTTTAACATCAAATGTTTTTAATAAGCCCCTCTGCAAGTGCAAACAGCAAAGTATTCACAATTAAATTTGTTTGTCAAACACATTGGTCTACAGTATACATCAGGGATTACATTTCAGCATACAGTCCTCTGCCTGTCTTTCACATGGGCTAACCACAGGTCCGCATACTAGGGGCTGTGGCCGGATAAAGTGTAGCACTCTATACAGAGACTCAATATTCTAGCGGAGTTCCACTTTGCCTAACTTTAATTGGAGTACAGTACCTAAATCCTCCACTGCCCATTTGTATTTGATCCATATTCATCTCTTTTTTCCACAACCTGCTGTTGTATAGTTTTGCTATGGGCTATTAAACAGCTGCCATGCTCCACCAAGAAGCGGGGTGCGTTTCAGTGTGGTTATACTACCAATCTGTAAATTGTTTTGAGACCCTTCAGGATGAAATATCAATACCATTATCATTTTTTTTCATAGGCACTTGGGCATTTTCTACAATTAATGAACAGAAGTTGCAAAATTCCCTTAAATATTAATATAAACTTCCTTTAAAGGAAAATAATTCCCTACCTACAACATTTAGAGGAGAATAAATACCAATCTACGAACAGTTTCAAGTCTACAGTGCTACTGAATTAGGCAAAACACCTCCACAAGCTGAATTAATTTAAAACTCTTAAAAACCTTTTCATCTAATGGATAAGTAAAGCTGGTTTGAAACAAAAAAAAAATGCTTTTATAGAGGAGTTTAGTAATTTTTCATTTTATATTTATCTTCATGGAAATTCTAACAACTTTATCTAGTTGTCTAGTTGACAACTTCTTATTTTCTTTTCCACTTTGGCTTTCTACGAGAAATGAGGTACTAGAGATTTTCAAGAAATTAGAAGCCTAATCCTCTCACCTTCAGTAGCATGTAGGTTATTTTTTTTCTGCTAAATCAGGAGAATTAAATTATATATACTCTCACAGTCATTTTAGTTAAAAAAAAAATCACTCCATCTAATTGCACCTGAGCTATTTTATATTTAACAT